AATTTGTGTTATGTGACATTGTATAAGGAGGGTGCCAATTAATACATGTGCAGTGTGTTTTAAAGATATTTTAAAGTTTTGACCAAGTCTATATTTCTGCATTTTTGGAAACTCACCAGGCAGGGCCACTTGGAGTTCACAGAAGGTAATCTTGGATCAGACGAGCTGGGCCACATCCAAATACATGTTCCAGTGAGTTTTTCCAGCTGAATATAGGAGTCAGGGGCTAGTTGTCAAAAGGTTTTGTAAATCAGTAACTGTAAGGTTTTGAGTCAAAGTGTCCAATTACACAAATAGTTGTTTTATCTTTTACACATCATTTTGCTCAAATTCAATATCAAAATAAGTAAACGGTAAAATACACCGACAACATTTTGACAAGAGTAAATAATAAATTATAATATGATAGCCTATAATATAAAAAAGAAAGACTGAAGGGCCCTACCACATATTGACATTTCAACATTTCTCAGATCAAGAGTATTTTTCAGAAGCGTCAGATCACGGTCACGGGTTTTATTTGATACATTTATACTTTAATCCCCCCCAGTATGTTATACACATTTATAGCCTACTTTAATTTGGCTTTTGGTTTCTGTTGGCCAAACAATGGTTTGAGATTAAGATTTTGTTTTAAAAGCCATTTCAATTTTGCCCAAAAACTTTTAAATGTTGTGGAAGATGACTTTGTGTTTTTTTTGTTTTGTTTTGTTTTTGTTTTGAGTTTTCACAGTGTTATATATTTAATATATTTTCAAATCCCTAGCCATTTAATTGAGCACAAATTATGTCGGCAATTCCACACACGACGCGATGACCCGTCCTTTGTCGCGTCGCGGTGGGGAAATCCTCGCACGCGGCTGAGATCTCTCTCTCACCCCGCCTCCTGTAATACGATCAGCTGAAAAGCCATCAGAACCCACGCTCCTCTCTGTTCACTCCTTCTGGTCCACTTTAATTCATCCAGCTGAACGCAAGAAACGCGCGCGAGGATGCGGGCGATTCCGTCAGAACGCAGTCCTTTCTCGGTCTCCGCTCTCTGTGGAGTGGCTGTATGTTTGTCCATGTGGACGTGCGCGGTCCAGTGTGAGAGCTTCGCTTGTTCTCCGCCCGCGGCGTCAGTGCAGGAGCTCGCGCGCCGCTCAGGGGTCGTGTTTGAGGGGAAGCTGCAGGAGGAAGAGCGAGCAGAGCGGAACTGGACTGAAACGCGGGGTGAGTCGCCGGTGAACGTGTCGCGGCAGGTGCGCATCAGAGTGCAGCAGGTGTGGCAGCTGAAGGCGGGAGGGCTGCTCAAGGACTCTGTGGTGTCTCTCATCTGGTTTGAAGATGGCAGATGTGTCCATCTCAACACCGGGATCCAGTACATGTTCTTTATGGAACCCACAAATGACACGTCCGTGTTCACGGCAGTTTTCCCGCCGGTGGAGACCAAGCGCACCGTGAGGAAGAATGTGAGTCAGGTGCTCTGTCAGGACTGCGGTAAGACACTTTTAACTGTCTGCTGGATGTTCATGTTCATAAATAATCATATCCACGTGTGAGCCGATTCAGTGATACACAGTAGCGAAACTAAAGTAGGTTTTTGTTTTGTTTTGCTTTGTTTTGTCTCCTGTTGATCTTGGTGATAAAGTGGAGCTCGGGGACGAATATGGTGATGCTATAATATGGTAATATCATGGTACTGAATGATGCATGATGGTATTGACACGCCAATATTCTATAAAGAATACAGCGGTAATGCAATGACATGTACAATGACATTGACATTGGCAGACATCCTTTACAGCCTGCATTTGAACTAAATAAATTTTACAGACTAGTTAAGCATGCATCCTCTGAAGATGTCTATGTCAGACAGTTAGACACAATGTTTTATTAACTTGTTTGAACCGTTTGACATGACCATGTATGGACAACAGTTGTTTTTAATTTTTGGCTCTCCTTCAGGCTCACTCAAGCTCACGCCATGCAAAATAATTAACAGACACAGTCTCTATAGTGTGATATCTAGGTGAAAGAGTCATGTGCTGAGAATTAACTGATTTCTGTGATGTGAGGCAGCTAGCAGACGTCGGTTTAGCCAATCTGTCTGCTTCCTGACCTGGGCCCCAGTTAGTCAAGTACAAACTCTAAGACTATGTGCCATATTTCTAGAGCGAAGAGCGGCACCACCCCAGGAGGGATGAAGACCATCTCTTTTCAACAGGTCAGGTCTGCCCCAAAAACTCGTCCAATTGTCTATGAAACCTATGTTATTCTGCGGGCACCACTTAGTCATCCAGCCAGTCTGCTATGTATCTCATCACCACGGTAAGCAGGGAGGGGACCAGAGCATATTACAGTGTCTGACATCGTACTTGCAAGTTCACACACCTCTTTCAGCTGTGCCACTGAAGTCTGAACACACATGAACAGGCTTAGCACAACTGACTTATTGTGTGTCTGTTGCCCTTTCTAACCAGTGTTAATCATTGTTTTGTATAAAAATGTAACAATAATAATCAAATAATTAAAGGTTTGTAACTACCCTAACTACTCTAACATTTCATTCATACTGGATAGAAGTTCTAGTAAAACTACAAACCACAAAGGCTTTCCTTGTGCTCTTGCTCTAATCTCAAGCCATATTTATTTGTATAATTTTTTACAAAACAGTTTCAAAGCAGTTTTTATAATGAGGGGTCAGAGGGGTGCGGATCCATTTGCAGCTTTTATTAAATAAATAGCAGAGTCAAACAGGCAGTAATCAATCAACGGCGTCAGGAACAACAGGGACAATCCAGAAGAGTAAACATTAACCGAGCGAGGGTCGGGGCAGGCGGCAGAGAATCACACTAGGATGAACAGTCCAAGATAATACACAAGAGATCAAATAGACAGGGGAAAAACGCTCAGAGATGTTAGCCATGGCAAAACAAGACTTCGCGAAAACTAAGAGTCTGAATACAGCTTAAATGGGGAAGCTAAGGGGAAACCCCTGTGCCAGTAATCAGTCCCAGGTACGGGGTGTATGGGAAATGGAGTCCATGAATGCTAGTACTCGGGAGAGGGTGCCCTCCGGTGGCAGTCGGAGAGAGCCACAGAGGCCTGATTTGTGACAGTTTTACAGAAAATCAGGATATGTATAAATCTGGACATATATATTGAACTTTATATCAAGAGCTGATGATAATAATTTTGCAATGATATAGACAACCAAGCATGTTAATTTCCTGTAGCTAACAGTATGAATACAATGTAAGTCACTTTGAATAAAAGCATCTGCCAAATGAAAAAATGTACGTTACTGGTTGAGTGCTCGTCTGAACATGTCTTTAGAGAATGTGATCACTGATTATATGCACTGCCTGTCCAAAAAAAAAAAAGATTCAATCTTAAAATCTGTTGGAGAGGGTTGTCATATAATATACAGCAGTGTTATATGCAATCTAATAATATACTATTTAAACTGCCAAAAATTTTCAAAAACTTTGACAAATAATCAGTTTTCTTGTAACTAATAATAAATAGTATGCAGAAGAAATAATAGTTTTAATATGAACTTAATCAGTTCTAAACTTCTCATTGCATCATATAATCAACAAGAACCATCAATGTATGAATCAAGTTCACTCAGACTGCAGACAGTTTCTGTAATGTACATCATTTTATTATATCCATGTATGCTTTTACAGACAAATCATGCAGAACTTCTCTGTCCTGGTCTCGAGACGGGTGACGTTTGAGCTCCACTCACAGTCTTGCTTGTTGCTCCCCAACAACAAAGTGGCTGTTTATTTGCATAAAGTTAACATTTCTGAAAGGTTTCTGAAGTTGCTGGTCACGCCTACATCCTGTCACCTACATTTGCTGAAGCTCATGTGGAAAAATAAAAATCTGTTCAATTTCACTCCATGACAGTGTTTCTAGGTTTGAGCCTTTTGCATGGATTTGATTCGTCATTAGTGATGCTTTTTGTCCAGTCACAAAGGTAAGACGCTTAATACATTTATTGGTGAGTTTCAAATATTAAGCTATGCAAAATTGTAGAACTTGCAACATATAATACATATATTGTATTTTAGTTATATATTGACCAAACACAATATCATGATGTTGGCTACCAATTCACTGCACAAAATCTTATGTGCAGTTACATGGCCTTTTACCATTATACAAGTTATTTTAGTTCTGTGTTGAATCTTTGTGATTGTAATAATTTGTGTTATGTGACATTGTATAAGGAGGGTGCCAATTAATACATGTGCAGTGTGTTTTAAAGATATTTTAAAGTTTTGACCAAGTCTATATTTCTGCATTTTTGGAAACTCACCAGGCAGGGCCACTTGGAGTTCACAGAAGGTAATCTTGGATCAGACGAGCTGGGCCACATCCAAATACATGTTCCAGTGAGTTTTTCCAGCTGAATATAGGAGTCAGGGGCTAGTTGTCAAAAGGTTTTGTATATCAGTAACTGTAAGGTTTTGAGTCAAAGTGTCCAATTACACAAATAGTTGTTTTATCTTTTACACATCATTTTGCTCAAATTCAATATCAAAATAAGTAAACGGTAAAATACACCGACAACATTTTGACAAGAGTAAATAATAAATTATAATATGATAGCCTATAATATAAAAAAGAAAGACTGAAGGGCCCTACCACATATTGACATTTCAACATCTCTCAGATCAAGAGTATTTTTCAGAAGCGTCAGATCACGGTCACGGGTTTTATTTGATACATTTATACTTTAATCCCCCCCAGTATGTTATACACATTTATAGCCTACTTTAATTTGGCTTTTGGTTTCTGTTGGCCAAACAATGGTTTGAGATTAAGATTTTGTTTTAAAAGCCATTTCAATTTTGCCCAAAAACTTTTAAATGTTGTGGAAGATGACTTTGTGTTTTTTTTGTTTTGTTTTGTTTTTGTTTTGAGTTTTCACAGTGTTATATATTTAATATATTTTCAAATCCCTAGCCATTTAATTGAGCACAAATTATGTCGGCAATTCCACACACGACGCGATGACCCGTCCTTTGTCGCGTCGCGGTGGGGAAATCCTCGCACGCGGCTGAGATCTCTCTCTCACCCCGCCTCCTGTAATACGATCAGCTGAAAAGCCATCAGAACCCACGCTCCTCTCTGTTCACTCCTTCTGGTCCACTTTAATTCATCCAGCTGAACGCAAGAAACGCGCGCGAGGATGCGGGCGATTCCGTCAGAACGCAGTCCTTTCTCGGTCTCCGCTCTCTGTGGAGTGGCTGTATGTTTGTCCATGTGGACGTGCGCGGTCCAGTGTGAGAGCTTCGCTTGTTCTCCGCCCGCGGCGTCAGTGCAGGAGCTCGCGCGCCGCTCAGGGGTCGTGTTTGAGGGGAAGCTGCAGGAGGAAGAGCGAGCAGAGCGGAACTGGACTGAAACGCGGGGTGAGTCGCCGGTGAACGTGTCGCGGCAGGTGCGCATCAGAGTGCAGCAGGTGTGGCAGCTGAAGGCGGGAGGGCTGCTCAAGGACTCTGTGGTGTCTCTCATCTGGTTTGAAGATGGCAGATGTGTCCATCTCAACACCGGGATCCAGTACATGTTCTTTATGGAACCCACAAATGACACGTCCGTGTTCACGGCAGTTTTCCCGCCGGTGGAGACCAAGCGCACCGTGAGGAAGAATGTGAGTCAGGTGCTCTGTCAGGACTGCGGTAAGACACTTTTAACTGTCTGCTGGATGTTCATGTTCATAAATAATCATATCCACGTGTGAGCCGATTCAGTGATACACAGTAGCGAAACTAAAGTAGGTTTTTGTTTTGTTTTGCTTTGTTTTGTCTCCTGTTGATCTTGGTGATAAAGTGGAGCTCGGGGACGAATATGGTGATGCTATAATATGGTAATATCATGGTACTGAATGATGCATGATGGTATTGACACGCCAATATTCTATAAAGAATACAGCGGTAATGCAATGACATGTACAATGACATTGACATTGGCAGACATCCTTTACAGCCTGCATTTGAACTAAATAAATTTTACAGACTAGTTAAGCATGCATCCTCTGAAGATGTCTATGTCAGACAGTTAGACACAATGTTTTATTAACTTGTTTGAACCGTTTGACATGACCATGTATGGACAACAGTTGTTTTTAATTTTTGGCTCTCCTTCAGGCTCACTCAAGCTCACGCCATGCAAAATAATTATTTAAAAGCTGGACTGCCATTGCCTGAAATCTGTGTTTTTGGCAGGATTTCAGCAGAGATTATGGTCACTAATGTCATCACCAGATTCTGATGGATTACACAAATTCCTGCTCAACCTTGTTGCCTCTGCATTGAAGCTAAACCTTATAATTTCAGCTAGAGACAATTCCAGGATACTTTTGGCTTGATGGGCTCCTGCATAAAGCTGTCAGGGTTGATTAGCTCTGAATGTCACATCATGCAATGTTTGAAAAACCTTTGTGTACATACAGATCTTAAGGGTTAACGGTTAGATGAGTTGTTAGTATTTCAATTAAAGGCATTTTGATGAATGATGAAAGGAATCTAAAGTTAAATGTTTTCTATTAACCTTTTGTTTGCTAAACTGACATACATTGTCTGCTAACCTGGTTACCTACAGTTAGCTGATTTTGCTTGGTGCTTAAACACAAGTTCTAAGTATAGTTACATTTTAGTATGAGCGTGTATTTTTATGAGGCTACACAAGTTGTTATGCCTGCACCAACAGTGTCGATATTCTAGCACTACACATTAGTGAATCAGTTTGTTTTGGTTATGAATAGATATGAGACCAGCAATATAATAGCATGTCTGTGAAAGGTTTGTGTTAGAAAACGGAATAATATTTTGGCTTTGTGATTGAGCTGCCTTTGTTTGAATTTGGCATCCGTTGTAATCGCAAGATGAAATCCTCCAATTCCAAGTATTGCTTCATCGACTGTATGCAGCAGTAATGCTGTAAGAAGCTTTGAGATGTTCATGAGCTCAATGATGCTTTGTGTTTTCTCACATATATATATATATATATATTAGTACAAAAGATTCAACAACTTGTTAAGCTTGAGTTTGCCTTGAGCATTCATTCCAGTAGTGCTGGACTTGCACACAGATGCCTGTCGAATGTGTTTAATTACCACTTGTGCTGGTTTTGTTGCCATCTGATGTTAGTGAAGGTCATTCTACTTCCAGTCCTTATGTGAATGTTCTCCTCTCCTCTCCTCTTTCCTCTTTGTGCTTTGGTATATTATGAGAATTTGACGTTGAGAATTCTAAATAGCTTGTGGACATTATTCAATGTTGAAGAAGAATGAAAAGCATATGTCAAATTGATACATTTAACACATTCCTGATTTTCACCGTGTCTTTTTTGTAAGTGAGATTTAGATTCAGATTGTGATCCAATATCATGATATACAATACAGTTAGTATTTGTATTAGTAAGTCTTTGACTCCTAAGGGAACTACAAATTCCGTCCTTGTGTCAGATAGTAACATTATTCATTTTCTTTTTTGAAACGTATTGATTTACAATTCCCTGTAGGAGAGGGTATTACTGAATGAACCCTGGCTTTAGCTGAAGCAAAGTGGAATATATGATGAAGACGAAAAAATTCTAGAACAGGGGTGTCCAAACTCAGTCCTGGAGGGCCGGTGTCATGCAGAGTTTAGTTCCAACTTCCTCAACACACCTGGATGTTTCTAGTATGCCTAATAAGACCTAAATTAGCTGGTTCAGGTGTGTTTAATTGGGGCTGGAGCTAACTCTGCAGGACTGGCCCTCCAGGAGCAGGTTTGGACACCCTTGTTCTGGCAGGTTGTTGGACTTTTACAAATCTATTTTTTTAAACTTCATTAGTTTTTTACTTGTGAATGTTTTCATTGTTTTACTACAGTGAATAATATCACTCACACAAAATCCAAAGTTAATGCTTCAAAGAAAAATAGCATCACATCATATGCCAAGCATTACAGTTTATTTATTAATCTTTTTGTTTGTTTTGTTTTATTTTTTATTGCATTGCATAAACTTTTGAGTGTGTACTAAAGAGAATTTATTGTAGGACAGCGCATGAGCTGGATCTGTGGCAGATGAGTATGAGAGCTGAAGTTAAGTCAGTGCACATATCTCAGAAGGGTTACAGAGATAGCCCAGTCATAATCCTCTGTCCTTTCACAGATTATCCCATAATCCCATCTTTATTCTGCATTCAAATGGCCCACATTCAACATGAGCTCCTAGAAAACCAAAAGTGTGACTACCCTGCAGTTTTATGATGTTGCTTACTATCTAATTACAATGGCAAGTGCAGTGCTATTTTGCTATTTTATTGGGACAAATTTCTATTAGAATACAAAATAAAGTAGTCTGGGTCTGTATTTGTGTTATGACTTCAGTAGTGACACTTACAGTTGCTTTAACAAAATTTTACAATTAATTAAATGTATGTAAATTTTATGTGTAATTGCATCATTCAGGACAAATGTATTCAAGTCAAATCACCTTTATTTATATAGCGCTTTATACAATACTGGTTGTGTCAAAGCAGCTTTACAGTGTCAAACAGGAAAATAGTTTGTGAATGCATGAAGACAATAACAAAGAGTCATTTTTCAGCTAAAGTCAGTTCATTGATAATTCAGTGATGTTTCCTCTCTTCCAATAATGTCTGTGGAATCAGTCAAGCGTCCCCAACTAAGCAAGCAAAAGGCGACAGTGGCAAGAAATCAAAACTCCATCTGTGACAGAAATGGAGAAAAAACCTTGGGAGAAACCAGGCTCAGTCGGGGCCAGTTCTCCTCTGAACAGACGAAACCAGCATGGTGTGGTTTAATTCCAGGCTGCAACACAGGTCAGATTGTGCAGAGGACTCGTCTGTTTCCCGTGGTCTTGTGCCGATGGTTGTTGAGGTGATGATGTCTTCGCAGGGGACCTTTCTCTGGGGCTCATCTAGTTGACATGGTCTACGCTGACATTCGGGGCTGTAGAGGTCGTCTCTAGGTGTTGATCCACCATCTGATCTGAATACAGACTGGAACCGTAAGATTTAAACTGACAGAGTGTGTCTGCCTCCCGAACAACGCAAGGTATATTGTTACAGAGTTTGGGCGCTAAATAGGAAAAGGATCTGCCGCCCGCAGTTGATTTTGATATTCTAGGTATTATCAACTAAGGGTGATAATACCTAGGTACTATCAACTGTTCCGGGTGTGTGTTCCCGGTGCGTGTGTGTTCACTGCTGCTGTGTGTGCACTTTGGATGGGATAAATGCAGAGCACTAATTCCGAGTATGGGTCACCATACTGAGCCACATGTCACTTTCACTTTCAAATGGCCAGAATTTTGAGATTGCAGTGGACGTGAAGGATTATAATGTGATATGAGCTTGCTCAAGTACTGAGGTGCTAAACCATTCAGGGCTTTATAAGTAATTAGCAAGATTTTAAAATGTATTTGTTGTTCAATAGGGAGCCAGTGCAGGGTTGACAGAACCGGGCTAATATGGTCATACTTCCTGGTTCTAGTAAGAACTCTAGCTGCTGCATTTTGGACCAGCTGGAGTTTAAGTCGTGCAGAGCAACCACCCAAATCATTAAAATAATCTAACCTTGAGGTCATGAACGCATGAATGAACATTTCTGCATTTGACATTGAGAGCATATGTCGTAATTTAGATATATTTTTAAGATGGAAAAATGCAGTTTTACAAATGCTTGAAACATGGTTTTCAAAGGAAAGATTGCTGTCAAATAGCACACCTAGATTCCTAACTGATGACGAGGAATTAATAAAGCAGCCATCAAGTGTTAGACAGTGTTTTAGGTTGTTACATGCAGAGGTTTTTGGTCCAATAATTAAATCAGAATCAGCTTTATTCGCCAAGTGTGCGCAAACACACAAGGAATTTGTTGTGGTTTTTAAGAAGCTCTTGGTACATACATACATGCATACATGCATACATACATACATACATACTAGGGGTCAACCAATTATCGGCGCCGATATTAAGCATTTTTATGATTATCGGTATCGGTCATTTTCAAAACCGATTCGCCGATAAAATAACTTAATTTTGAAACGCGCTATTTGGCTCTGATGCAGCCTGTCAGAACTCACCACTCTGTGGCCTAAAGCAGTCTCCGACCCACCGCTCATCTGATTTGTTGGGAGTCATGAGTCCGACCAATCAATGCGGAATTCACTCTCACTCCAAAAGTGCTTGCTAACTGGAGCTGCTTCACTGATCACGCATCAGTTGTCTCTCAAAGGTAAGGCAGCAGCAGACGTTGCTTAAGTTGCAATAGATCCCAATCCACTAACGTTACACTGAAGTTGCAAAACACCTCAATATTATCTATGATTTCCGCAATGCAGAGAACGCAGACGGAATTGCGGAATCCAGTCAGAAATGGAATTTACTGTATGACGCGGAATGTCACGGAATTTGTCAAAGTTTGGATGAATTAATCAAAAGTAGGTCAGTACACTTAAATAGAGTCGCAATATGGACTAGTATCTGTAAATATTAAGCCGCAAAAAATACGATTTAAATATGAATCCAGCATGTTCTGCGTGTCTCTGTGTATGTAAATGGCATGCGCGGTGTTGAATCCCCCTCTGAATCCCTCTAAGAGTCACTTCATGAGCATTTGACTGTTTCATTGGAGTAAGACTATCTTCATATCATTTACATAGACCT